TAAACAAAAGTCACTGTCTATTTGGGTGGAAACAAATGAGGTTGGAGGTGGCTTTAGTTCAGGAGACACACATGCCAGAGCTGGCGTTGGAATGAACTTGGGTCTCCAATTCATTCGCTTCTGTGAAGAAATGCAAGTTTACTTGATGATGATGCAACCCTTACTCACATTGGACACTTACTCATGCAAATAGTCAATTGATTTAAAGGGGACCAATCACATGAGGAAACAATGTTGCTGTATCTCAGTGTAGGCAGTTATCAATCATCTAGGACAACATAACTCTTAAATGTGGTTAGGAGGGCCTTCCAGGATTCCCTTTGTGACTTCGTCTCTCAGCTTCAGATCTGTCCACATTGCTCCACGTGCCAACACAAGAGCACAAGAGCAATATGAGTTGTCCCAGTTTCCTTCCAGGGCTGAGCACCCCATTTCATTTGTGCTCCCAGCACCTGCCAGTAGGGACAGCAAGGGGCAACAATCCAAGACCACTAACCTGCCCAAGCCATGAAGTAGAATTTAATTTTCTAGTAGACAGTCACCAAGGACTTATTTTCTGATCCTTCTCAAGGCAGATGATGGCTCCTATATTTTCTTTCCATGCCTTTTTCTCATTAGGATATTTCTCCAGTAGATTTTGTTTTCAGGCAGCTTAGTAGAGTTAATTACAGATTAATTACAAACTCCAGGAAATCAACAGACCATAAAGAGTCCCAGAATCCAGTGGGTATACCAGGCATTAGTATGAATTAGTAGGCATTCCGATACCATCTGTAGAAAGGTGCTGCCGTCCCAGGGCACCCCTCATGACCTGGGATGGTCCTGCAGGCACCCTGCTTCCGTTTTCCTTTGAGGTTCCTCTGACAGGTTTCCCTCTCCACTCATGACACCTCCTGCTGGTCATTCTGGGGATTAGCTCCATCTGTCAGCTGCACCCTCCCCAGTGTTCTCTCCACCTGTCTTCTCTCTGTATGTGGCTTAATCATAGAATCATAGAATATCAGGGTTGGAAGGGACCTCAGGAGGTCATCTAGTCCAACCCCCTGCTCAAAAGCAGGACCAATCCCCAATTAAATCTCCCAGCCAGGGCTTTGTCAAGCCTGACCTTAAAAACTTCTAAGGAAGGAGATTCCACCACCTCCCTAGGCAATGCATTCCAGTGTTTCACCACCCTCCTAGTGAAAAAGTTTTTCCTAATATCCAACCTAAACCTCCCCCACTGCAACTTGAGACCATTACTCCTTGTCCTGTCCTCTTCTACCACTGAGAATAGTCTAGAACCTTCTGTTGCTCTTGGTGCTGCCACTTCCAGTCTGTGGCTTGGCCCTCCAGCCAGGTCACTAAGTCCCTCCCCTTCTGGGGAAATCACAGTCTTTCCGTGCCAGCTGTCCAGCAGGTGTCTCCCACGCCCTGAGTCACTACCCAGTGGTTGGTAGGGGAACCCAGGCCCGCCCTCTACACTGGGTTCCAACCCAGGGACCCTATAACATACAGCCTAGACCTGTACTGCCTGTGGTCTTAAGGCCGTTTCTCTGGGGCTTTTTCCTACCTAACTGGCTTGCTACTTCTCTGGGTTCACCAGCTCCTCCACTCCCTCCTCTTACGGAGTCTGTGCAGCCTGCCTTCCTGCAGCCACAAACATTCCTCCCTCTTTCCAGGGAGTGACTGCCCTTCCCTAGCAGCCACCTCTCTCTCTCTAGCTAGCTACCTGGCTTTCTACAGGCCTCCCCGCCCCCGGTTCATGTCCCGGAGACATTGTTCCTCAACAATTTACTCCCTGGCTCGCAGCCTAATTAGCTGCTTGGGCCCATCTGGCCCCACCTAACTCTTGCATATCCCATCACAGTTCCAAAAAACCCCAAACTCTACACTTACATCCAGAGTCTTTAAAATAATATTCCCTCTCTCATGGAGTCTAATTTATTGAACACCATGCAGCTCCCAAAAAGCCCCTTTTGGTGCCCCTCCCTGAGATTCAGGGTTTAACAGACCTCCTTCTAGGGACTATGCTTCAAATCCTGGCCTCCCTGGCCTGCAAACTCTTCCCCTTCAGTTCAGGAGTTGCACAGACCTCCTTCCTGGGGCTGGGTGGGTCCTGGCTGAATTCCTCCTCCTAAACAGCTCCTCCAGCAGCTCTCTCTGACTGGGCTATTGATTCCCTTGCCCAGTCATCTAATCAGCCTCTTGATCCACCGCAATAACCCCAAACTCCTGTCTGCGCTGGCTAGGAGAGAGAGGAGCCTTGCCCCACCCCCTCTACAAGGCTCCTGGTTCCAGACCCTTAAAGAAACAATCGTTTGGGATGTCCCCCATACTTTCCCCTCTCCCAGACACTGACTGTTTCCCGGAACCATCTTCCTCTCTCCCAATTACGGCTTCAGTTATTTTCCAGCCTTCATCTGCTTCCCTGGACACAAAGAACGTGGTAACTGGACTCTCACATTATTCCCTAGGGTCTTAAAGAGCAGTACCCCATTACACCATGACACGCATGTGTTATAAGAACTTGAATAGAACAGAGTGTCATTCATTAGAATTATTGACATACAGCATGTACAATTTTATTTGCAAAGAATCCATAATAAATAAATCAAAGTCACATGAGGATTAAAAATTTGAATAAATCCTCATATTTCTGATACTGAAACATAATGAAATCAACAATGAAAGATATAGAGAGCAAAGGTAAAAGATAGAATGATTTCAAAATCTACTTTGTATCAACAAAATTTTCCACAGACCTTACTGAATTTACCCACAGTTCTTGGGTATATTTTGGATCTTGCTGCGAGGAAATTGTTTAACATTTTCCTGGATGACTTCCATTTAAGCTGCTTTAAACCAGGTAGGGAAGGTTCTGAAAATAAAGCCAATGTACATAAAGAACTGGAATGTTTAGGTAAAATATAGACAATGAAAGATATTACAAAGCAAAAGGCTATGGAAGGGATTACAGACATACACCTCACCTTGGTACCCCTGCATTGAACAGCATCATGAGATGGAGACTTATCTGTGTATTAGAATTAATAAAAGTCTTCTGACAGCATTTTCAAGTTTTTGATGTCAGACAATAAAACATCATACAGAAGAACCTCACCAATTTACACTAATTACTGGGACATCAATGAATGCTGGGAATATGCAAGTGAGGGTGAAATTCAGCCATGTGAAGAAAGCGAAGCATAAGCCTATGCATCACATAAGACGCACATAAATCCTATTTTGGGGACTTAAATAGTACACAGACCTTATTCTGGCTCTCTAAATGGGTGAATTTCACCCTAGGATTCTATGGAAGGTGCTGCACTGCCAAATCTTCTCAGAGTTGCTTGTTTTTTTCACAATACAAACCTGTAAAGTTACAACCATAAACAGAGTCCTGTAATTAAACCCTTTTCTCCCACAGTAGAGTGCTCATCATGTATATGTAACCCTTCTGCCCGTCAGAGTTGGCAGCAACAAGGGCCGGGTTCAGTATCTAGGGGTTCTGTTTCAATAACACAATGCAAAACCAACTCGAGCCCCCACCCAATGATCTGGGACAATTACATACCACCCCCCTGGGTGCCTCTAAGAGGCAATACTTCCCCTCTCGCAAGCACAGAGCCTGAGTGTAGCAAAAGCCTTTTAATAAAGGAGGGAAACAATGTGGCATTATGTCGGGGAAATACCACAAACAGGACTCATAACACCAACCATGAGCAAAAGACCCACCCCCAAGTAAGTTTGGCAGTGTCCTTTTCCCCTCAGGGTCTTAAGTCCAGCAACCCAATAGTCACCCCACCCCCAGTTTCTGTCCTTGGTCAGTGCAGCCCCCCCAGAGTTCAGAAGTTCATCTGCAGAGTTTACCTCCCAAACTGGGTGGAAGTGGAGGGAGGGAAGGGGGGCATCTTATGTGCTCTGCTGCGCGGGTCGACGGCTGATTGCCACGCCTCTCCATGGGGTTCTGCTGCAGTCTTCACCACCAGCTGCGCCTCTCCTCTCCACCAGCCGCCCAGCTATCTGCTCCGCTCTCATAAGCTTTCATGAGCTACAGCTCACTTCATCGGCTTTGCTCAAATAAATTTGTTAGTCTCTAAGGTGCCACAAGTACTCCTTTTCTTTTTGTGGATACAGACTAACACTGCTGCTACTCTGAAACCTGTAATTCAGCTCTTTAGTGATTTCTGCCCTCAGTGATTTTTAGCTGGTAGTAGGGGAGCCTCAGTGCTGGTGCACCACTAATCCAAAGTAGGTCTAATGTTTAGACGTAGGTATCAGTGATTTCAGCTCCGCAGCATGTAACAAGACTCCTTAATAGAGCCACAATTAGCTTTGTTATTACACAGTGGAGAGAGGAAGGATCAAAGTGGTGTTTGGGATCCTCAGAAGGGGCCCATGCTACCAGATACATATACCTATCCCAGCATCTCTCAATTCTCTGGGTTCTGGAACCCATGTCCCTTGCCTAGCAAGTGCTACTTAGTTGAGGGAGAGTCCCTCTGTCATAAAATGCCAAGTACAGTTCTACTGTCCTTGATTCACATAACCAGGATAACAACGCCTTTATTACTTCTGCCCCAATAACAAAGAGACTGGGGATCCCACAGCAGCCAAAGTGACCATTTTGGGCAAGCAGTCCATCATGCTAGGCAGGGTGGGTGTGCCCATGCAACTGAGATCAGCCCCTGAAGTCCTTTTCCACAGCTCATCACCAGATATCAGGGTAGAGCTCATTCTGACTCTGCTTACATATATGAAGCAAACATGTTGGCAATTTTATTATACTCTTTGAGACTAACAGGCTATTAATGGTGTCACAAAACAACAAGCTGTTTGCTAAACTATTGTTGAACATTTTTACTGGTAAGACTTCAAATATCTATTTGTCTCTAAAAAAAGTGAACAGATTTTGTAAAGGTTTTCTCTGTTAAATACAACAGATGACACAACCCCATTTTGAAGTAAAGTCCAGAGAGATGTTTTAGCCTTAAAAATGTATTTATTACATTTTGCTATACATTAAAAATGGTTTAGATGTGATTTTTTTACTTAAAATTACTGAGCTAAAAGTAAAGAGGTAGCTATATTATAATAAGCAAAATAGTAAACACTGTTTAAGTCACAAAAATCTACAGTTTTCTGCATTCAGACACATACAATATACAATTTAATTTACACTATATTCATTACTTTAGCCTTGGGGGTGATAGCACCTCCAAAACTTGAACTTGATCATTAAACAGTAAGCAGAAGAATTGGTTTTAAACAACATATGGTCCATCACTTTGGGGAGAGAAAAAAGCTTCTAAGGATTTCTGGTCTTCACCTCCATATTTTTTTTTCTTTTTGTTTGTTTGTTTGAATTTAACTAAAGCTGTATTACTTTATATGAAAAGGCCATGAATTATCTTTGGTTTTTCCAATATTATTTCAGTAGATTTGCTACTGGATACTGTATTGTGCTTGTTGCAGTTGAGTAAAATGGATCATGTTGAGTCAGTCATATTGCTTCTGGGCTGGAAAGGTAGAATGACATCTACAGTAAAATTGATCACAGTTCTTTCCATACAGTCAAGAATATAAACCATAAATCAGTTTGCCCAAATACATTTGTATTACATCCTGGGATTGCCAAAAACAGTCCATTTGGCTGAGAGAAAATATGCAGGATCTGAAATAGTTTTGCAGTATTTTCCATGTTGGTGGATAATAGTGATTGTTTAGCAATTGGCTATAGCAGAGTCACATGACCTTTTGTTCTAAAATAAAGAAACTCCAGCACTAGATAATATTGATACAATAACCTATTTGAGGCAAAATCAGGCCCTACATTTAAGATACTTAAATTGATGCCATTCTGATGGACTAATTCTTTAAGGTCTTAGCACGCATCATCTACGACTGACCACCCTGTAAAACCAGAGCTTTCTCGAATGGAAATCACTGGAAGTTTTAGTTTGATTTCAGTGGATCCACAAGCAGGCCTATAGGAGCCAATTGTCACTGTTCCTGGCAAAGTCAAGTTAGTGAGAGTATTGAACATAAAGGATGCCATCCTGGCCCCACTGACTTCAAATTCAACTAGAATTTCATCCAGAAGGTGGCAAGATCAAGCCCACATTAGAGTTAGGGCTGCACTTTGTGGGAATTTGCTCATCTCTCAAAACTATGTGTGGAGTCCATTCTTTGTATGTTTGTGTGTCTAAGAATATTGTGTAGAAAACCCTAGATCACTCTATTAATAACCTCCTTTATCTTGTACATTTGCCTGTCAAACAGAGAATTTCCTTAGAGATATTTGGAATTGTCCCATGTAGTTGGACTGCTCACTCCCCAGAAATTCAGCTGAGATCAGATACATCTTAAATAATTTATAACAGAGAGAAAACTTTAAAGCAATATAACATACCACTAACTCTAGTTCAAGTTAATTTCCAGAAAACATTCTACTCTTCAGCGAGGATCTGAACAGGCAATAATCAAAGGATAACATCGATTTTTTTAAAATGTAATTTTATGTTTTACATTTTCCCTTTAATGTGGAATAGTTTATTTCCAGAATTATGCAAATTGTAATGCAGTACTTTAAATAAACTTTGCATTGTGATTTCATGAGTTATTTCTTAATGTTAGTTTTTGGGGCTTTTTAAGACTGTGTTACGGTACCTGAAAAGTGTATCTGTTTATATTAGAGAGTGTCTTACAATACATTTAAGAAATAACTGTAGAATAAACTGTGATTTTGTATTCTATGATTTGAGAAATGAATGATTATTAATTGTGATTAAAGACTATATGGGAAATGCACATGCACAAAGGGAAGAGTGAAGGTTGCTCATGCAAACAATCTTGGGGCAGTTTGGATTTGAATCCGAATTTTGTGCTTGAATACATTTCCACTTTTAACATGACCAATATACAGTTGATGAGGATGATTTTCACATTTTTAAGATTACCCCCAAATCCACAGGAGTCTGCCTTTAAGACTGAATTGCTAAACTTCTCCTACTCCTGGTTTCCGAACATTTACAAAAACTGTTGTCTTGAATTTTGTGATTCCAATGAGATCGGTGGGAGTTTTGCCCGAATAAGAACTGCAAGACTAGACACATTAACAGCAGATTCATATTTATGTTTTCAAAAGACTGACAAACATTTTAAATTCTGTGATACAAATGATGACATTTACCTTTTTAACAGAAGCTCTATTCTGTTTTTATTCTTTAAATAAATGAGTTGTACTATACACTTACTAGAATATCTAAAGAGCAACTAACGCCAAACTGAAAATCTTCAAAAACATGCTTTTTACCCATATATTCTGTTTTATTTCCCTCATTTTCTAGTAGTAAGGAGATCTGATGAAAACAGCTTATTTATCTCAAGTGTTCATATGCGTCAATGTCTTATTCTTTATCTAAGTTGATTTACAAATGCTTTATTAAAGTTGATTAAAACACATACTGCCTTCTGCACCCCAGACCCTTATGAAACATGAGATTTCAAAATCTCAGACTCATGGGTTAGAAAACCAGGACATTCTAAGTTAAAGTTTCCCTACATATCCCTGCAAAGAATAGTCTGGCAGGAAACCCCCCCCCCCCATAAATTTATAAAAACTAGGAAGTGAACATCAAGGTGTTGCTAAATAGATATAGCACAACCACCCAGCCTTACTCTAGTACAGGGGTTCTCAAACTTCATTGCACCACGACCCCCTTCAGAGAACAAAAATAACTACATAACCCCAGGAGGGGGGACTGAAGCCTGAGCCCGCCCGAGTCCCGCTGCCCCAGGTGGGCAGCAGGCAGAGCCCAAGCCCCACTGTCCTGGGTGTTGGGGGCCCAAGCCCAAGGGCTTCAGCCCCAGGCAGAGGGCCTGTAACTTGAGCCCCACCACCGAGGGCTGAAGCCCTCGGGCTTCAACTCCAGGCAGTTGGGCTTGGGCTTCGGCTCTGGTGACCCCATTAAAATGGGGTCACAACTCACTTTGGGGTCCTGATCCACAGTCTGAGAACCACTGCTCTAGTGTTTTTATGGGAGGAGACTTAACAGGAGGACACTAATGTTAGGAAATTTCCTAATGGATTGTTGTTAGTTTCTTTGTGATTGTACAGCAGGAAGAGAGGAAGTACAATAAATTCAGCGTCATCTCTATCAACCAGCAGCAATTACTTCCCCATGTCAATGTTGCTACACAACCAGCAGAGAGGCCCATGAAACTGCATAAATAGGGATCCTGATTTGGAGTTGCGGTGGGCACAATGAAAATAGTATTGTTACAGCTTGTTAACATACTGTGCTATTCCCAGTCCCTTTTGCCATTCAGATGAGGGCAGAGTTAAGGCTGGGAGGTTGTATTGTGTTTGAAGAAGCACCTTAACTGTTCAGTTCCTGGTTTTGTAACATTTGAGTTTGGGCTCAACAAGTCCCATACGCTGGCTCGTTAATCTTTATCTGAATTCATAATCTTCATCTTTGATATCATAAGCATATCCATTGCCACTGAATATGGTGCCACAAACCAATATGATGAATTTCCATAAAAAACAGAACACGCGCATTTGGGTGAATTCTGGAGAAGAGCATTCATGAATACATACATGGGATTCCAATTCAATCTGAACACATTTGTTTCCTCTTTGCTTGCTTTTCTGTGCCCATTTGTGGAGCCCGTTTTGTTCAGGCAAATATTTCAGGAAGAATTTTTGTCCATTTTCATGCACAAACAACTTTATTCATGCCTCAGGAATCAAATCAGAAAACAGAAACCATACCATGTGACTCAGCTAACCAATCACACAATTCAAACAGCAAATTCTGAATATCTGATAGAGTACTCACTGAAAACAAGTCATGAATACCTCATTGGCCCAAACATTTTTAAAGAGTGTCTGTCAGATAATGCCAGTTAAACAGATTTATATTATCATGATCTGATAGTGGACAATACACAAATAGATAATGAGCCGTGTAACAATGTTTGCAACAAAAAGTTCAACAAGATTTAACAAAGATACTGGTTTTATGCAAATTTAATTGGGGTTGGAGGGGAAATACACAATGTATATAGGCAGAATGTTTTTCTAAGTAGGTGTAAGTATGTCCTTAAAGAAGCTTATTCTTAAACCATTTCTAGTGCCGTCCGGATTGTTACAGAAGGTTTAAGGTAAACTTTTTGACTGCACTTATTGCACTCTTTTTTTCAAAGCTTTATAACAAAACCCTTCTGATGTACCATAGATTCTTCATTGTGATTAACTAATCTATAGAAGTTCAATTACGTGGACTACTGAATTATCCAAAATAGCATGTACTATTAGTCTGAGATGTATCACCCTATTTTATAATCTGCGGCATATCACTCCAAGCTTGGGATTTCTTTTTGGCAAGTTCCATCCATGATGGCTGATCTGGAGCAGAATGACTGACTTTCTTAAACTGGTTCATTTCTTCTCTCTCTATCAGCACTGAGGATTGAGCTAGTGTGAAGAAAAACATATTTACATTGTGTTAGCTTGATGCTCAACTACAGACCTCACCTGTTTCTTTAAATAAACCTTTTCATTTCACATGGAAACTTATTCTACAGTGCATTAGCAAAGAATTAAAATGGTACTACAGATCAAAATGCAACATTTGCATGCACTTGACTTCCTCTAACAGGGGCAATGCATCTAGGTCCCAATCCAGTGAAGTGTCCAATGCCCCCAACTCACATTGATTTCACTGGGAATTAGCCCATCATAAGCAGCATTCCTCAAAGTAAAACTTTGGAAACTAGTGTTAAAGAAACAATTACAATTCTTGCTCTCACTGCAGACAGTGAGAAGTGGGAAAGAGACAAGTCACTGTGGCATGGATCCTGCAAACACTGGATCCATGGGCAATTTTGCTCATATGAGCAAAGTCATCCACATGCTTCAGAGTCCGCAGGATTGGAGCCTACATTAGTATTTCAAGCATTTGTTTTCATACCAGGCACATGATGCGACAGCAAGTTGGCTCTTGGCACAGGCTCGTTCATGTCAGACTTTGTCTCATTCCTCTGTTCTTCAGATGAAGTTTTAGGTCCTAAATGTGAAGGTTTGCTCCTGATGAAGTTTGCTTGTTGCTTCATTGACCCCTAATTACATTGGGGGAAAAAAACAGGTAGAAATGTTTTAAATAATTCAGCGAAAATGAACAGTGGGAATTTAAAAGAACATGAGCAACACAGGAGTGAACAACACGCTCCTGCATAACCATGGAAAAGTCTTGTCACACACTTGTTCCATTTATTTCACTCAAGTTATCACCAGTTCATAAAGCTTTAACATTTTGAGATTTGTTTCCAGGACGCTAATTTTGCAATTTAAAAAAGTGCCTCTGTATTTTGTCTTATTTACAGCAATGATTGCAGAAGGTTGTTATTTTCACTGCAAATTTATTCTCGGCCATATGCATCCCTCTGCTAATGTGAATAGGGAGAAGTCACGCCTGGCAGAAAATGGTTTCTGGTGCACACTGCAGGAGTTGTGGCTTTACCGTAGGTTTCCCTTTCTTCTCCCCAACTCCATGAGTTGAGAACTCTGTGGTGGTGGAGGCAGCTAGGGATGGGATTAGATGTTCTTTGAGGCACAATTTCCTTCAGATCCTCATGGATTTCCTTAAGGAAGGCAATGCTGACCACATCAGCATATTCTCCCTTGGGTTCCCCTACTGTCTGGTGAAACTCCCCCGTGGTGGGAATCCATGGTAGTATGTTTCTGGAAGGAACCCTGTTACCATGTGTGACAGAGATAACAGGAGCAGTGCAGTGGCATTGAGCTTCATGCCCTATGGTCAGCAGGATCTTGGGGTACCTACAGGCTAGAAGGATCGTGTCCCTTAGCTGTTGTATGGAACCAGTCCACATGGTGAAATCTGCAGGATACAATGCAACTTGAAATCAGGAGATTTCTGGCCTTTAAGAAGGAATTTCTCAAATAGGGGATGATTTGACCCACTATGTTTTAAGTGTAGTGAACGTGTACAAACATTATTATGGTTTATAATCTCATCTGGACACATCATTAGGGAACATTTCTTGTTAATCACACTGTCGTTATTTATCGTTTGTCATCCTGTAGAGAGGCCTATTTTAAAATTTTAGAATACAATACACTAACCTCAAAGCTTATGATCAAATAAATCTGTTAGTCTCTAAGGTGCCACAAGTACTCCTTTTCTTTTTACTTTCTATCAGGAGAGCTTCATGTAAGGAATTATTTAACATGAATTTTCTAAGAGGCAATGCTAGCTAATATCCAGTGTCACCATCACATGTAAGTCTGATTTATCACAGTACAAAGAGCCAAAATCTAGAGCATAAGAACATATATAAAAACATAAGAATGGCCACACTGGGTCAGACCAATGGTCCATCTAGCCCAGTATCCTGTCTGCTGACAGTGGCCAATGCCAGGTGCTTCAGAGGGCATGAACAGAACAGGTAATCATCAAGTGATTCATCCCCTGTCGCCCATTCCCAGCTTCTGGTAAACAGAGGGTAGGGACACCATCCCTGCCCATCATGGCTAATAGCCATAAATGGACCTATCCTCCATGAACTTATCTATTTCTTTTTGAACCCTGTTATAGACTTGGCCTTCACAAGATCTTGGTATTGTCACTGAGTGTCAAACAGAAAAGTTATTTTTACCTTATTTAATTTCTCCAGACCCTGAAAATTGTTGACTAGGCAGTTTTGAAACCAAGTTGCTCTGTCAGGCTTAAATCACTGAGAAGATTTTGGATTACTATGAAATATGTGTGTGTGTGTGTGGGGGGGGGGAGTTAAATACACACAAAAAGAACAGATTCCCTCAGTAGGGATTGCACAATTTAGCACATCAGTCAATTTACTTCAGTGTATATATACACAAAGCTAGGCCTGATCCTGCCAGCATTTAAGCAGATGAGTAATTTTACACTCAAGGAGCAATCCCACAACCACTCACATGTGTAAAATTATTCATGAGAGTAGTCATGGGACTATGCATGTGCACAAGTGTTTGCAGGATCAGAGCCTTTGCAATTAAGTATCAATAATAATTAGATTTTACACAATTATTTAATAGCAACTGATCCAAACCAAGAATACAACAGCAATTTTACACAAAAGCATTAAACAAGTTTTCCTGTAAGCACCTCCATTCTTTCCGTCTCCTTATTTTGTTTTTCTGTATCTGACTTAATGTCTTGAGCCACAAGTTTCTCTTCTTTAGTAGGCTCCAGCTCTTGTTGCATGCCCCTTTGCTTCTGTCTTGCTATAGTAATCCAGGCTGGTGTGGACTGGCTGTCAGTTCCTCCTGGAGAGTCTGCTGTAATCACTGGGGAAGGCACAGCCTTCTCTGTTGACAGAAACATTTGGAAACAAGGTTATTTGAAAGTAAACCTTAATTCATTTTAGCTCCTCCACTTTCTCATTTCAGATTTGTTATTACAGAAAATGTGATTAAAGAACATTTTATTTTGACCCATTGAGGAGTTTTGATATTACTGTTTCTTATTCACTTTGCTAAATTACAATTTTATTTGTAAGTGATGCTCCTGTATCTTTGTATCTTTTGTATCTTTGACCGTGTCACTCCTGTCATAGGAGCGATATAAAGCAGCACCAGTCAAATTACATCAACACTGCAACTGTCAATTGCAAACTGACAACAGTTGACCACTCTTGTTCTTGCTCTCTCTCTCCTAAATACCAAGGCAATGCTTCCATCGCACTGAAGAAGAGAGAAATGTTAAAATGGAAAGCCACAACAATGAATGCATCAGGCCAGTTTCACTGCTGGGGTAAGTGAATGAGTGGAAATTCCATTGACTTAAATAGCTGCACCCACTTACACCAGGGGTGAATTTGGTCCATCAAGCAGAAATAGCGCTTACTCCTAACTAAACAACAAGTTAATCTCACAGTGCTTAAAAGGTACAAGAAAAGTAACACTAACCCTAAAACACTAACTACCTGTGGGCCTGCTCTCTACACAGGAAGTCAATGGAAGTCTTGCCATTGATGTTGATGGCAGCAGGATCAAGTCTTAAAGTATCAGGCACTTGTGTATCACTAGTAACTGAAAAATCAATACTGTCAGAGAGTGCCATTTCAGACTGGTGTTTGAAATACAGGAACAACATTTACAGACGAAATCCTAACTTCTGCAGTCTCTGGTACTAACGTCTGGGATTCTTGGGAGCAGTCAGGCAGTCCTGTAGGACTTGTCTTCACTAGAAAATTAGGTTGTGTTAGAACACAACCTTGCAGACATATTAACTAATGTGATGCTCAACTTGCTGTTGCAGTGAGTGTTACAGGGACCATTGTGTTTTACATAGTTTTTTCTGGACATGAGTAAATTCTACTGGAACCAAAGGCTTAAGCACAATCACTGGACAGGATGTTTACTATGACTTGTCTTCACTGCCTGCAAAGTCATGTTTAACACTGTATTAGTTAACACAACTCCTCAGGGTAGTATTCTAACGCTACCCAGTTTTCAATTAAGACAAGCATGACAAAAGAGAGACAGTATGTGGGGGAAAAAAAAAATCAGACAGTAAATTGTCAGAAGAGTCACCCCACTGGTGTCAGCCCTGTAGACTGGTCTACATTAAAAAGTTAGGTTGACCCAGCTACCTCACTCAGGGATGTGAAAAATCCACCCCTCTGAGTGATGTAGTTAAGCTGACCTAACCCATTGGTTCTTTTAGGATAAACTTTTGCAGGCTGACACCAAGTGTGTGCCAGAAGCACTCCTGGTTGTTAGAAAGGGAAGAGCAAAGCCTGAGTAATATTACCTCCTGCCAAGGACCCACCCAGCCCCTGCTCATGGCCCTCAGCTGATTCTGCTGATGAACATGGTCTCTTGATTGCCTGAAGATTCCAGGAGGCACAGACTTAAACTCTGCAACAGGCCTGGATACCCAGCTGCTCCATAGCATTCCATGGTTGCAGCTGCAGTTCTGGTCCTGCTCTCTGCTCTCCCTTGCTCCTAGCCCTTTCTCCAGACTGCTTCTGGTGCCCGATTCCTGCTCCCAGTTCCCATTCCTGGCTCCTGTCCCTGCTCCTGCTCTGGTTGATACTTCAGCTCCGACCTTTGATTCCTGAGTTTTGACTCTTGCTCGCTCCCTGGACTTGGCATTCAGTTTCTGAACACGGCTCTGGCCCTTGGCTCCTGGTTTCTGGCTCCGGCTCACTCCCCAGGTTCAATAACTTGGCTCCTGACTCAGGGCACTAGGCATGGCTGTCCCTGTTTCAACCATTAGGCAGTCCTCGTGCCCTGACCACTAGGCAAGGCTGTCCATAGCTGGGCATTACACCTCCTGGAAGAGGTGAAAGTAGATGATTGGTCTTGGACAGGAATGAAGAAAAGGGCAATTCTTAAAAAAAAGTTGTCATCACTGTCTAAAATAAGAAAGAAAAGATGAAAACACAGAGCTGCAGAACTGTTACTCTCTCTTCTCACAGAAACCTCAGCAGCCAGGAAAAATATTGTCAGAAGTTGTCATTCTCTGGTGTACAGCGCACAGGGACTCCAAGGGAGTGAAGGAATAATCCAGACAACAAGGATGAGGTGTCTCACCCGGGGGCTTGTTAAGAGACACTACCTGAAGGCAGCTGATCACTAAGGGACATGAGTCAACCGGGTGCCCAGACACCCTTACTCAGATAGCTCTGAGGGTGGAAGCTCGGATCTGAGGGATTCTGACAGAAAAGCAATTTTAAACAAAAGCCAGAATGCCAGAATGCAAGCAGGAGGTAATGGTAACGGCTTTGGAGTGACACCAAGAAAAATATTTCCCATGCTCTCCAACCAACAGTGGTAGTACTTGAACTCTTAAGATAGAGTGTCAGCTATTTGAGAGGGAAAAGCTCTCGTGCACAAGGATTAATCTCTCCAACTCCAGGCCAGCAGTAGTACACTGTAACAGGAAGTTCTGCAGAGAGAACTGCAATATGGCTCAGATCATTGCTTAGGTGACTGGATTCCCCTACAAAATTAGACTCCTCCCACAAGAAAATACTGCAGGTGCCTGTTTATTCAAATAATGCAGCACTGGTTGCTTTTCTGCCCAGGATAGCACTGGTTTCACTATGCAGGACTCCCTGAAAGCTAACAGTGCTCGCCTCATGAGCCCCCATGTTCTAATACATTCTTTTCTCCCAAAATGACCGTTTCCGCTGAATCATCCTGCGTCCCACAGAGCCCCACAGCCCAGATGACTGGTATCTGTAACCACTACTGTGGTTTTGACAGAAAGATTCCTTTTAACAGGCAGTTTGCCACTAACCATCAAGTGAGGAAGATTTCACAGGGAAGTTTAGCAGAGCAAAATGTGTCTAATGCTTCTTAAGCATAAGTGCTAGAGAGGTTTAGAAACCGCTGGGTAACTTGGGACAGTGCTACTACAACTGGAACCAGATGATTCTCTCACTGATTCTCACCACTCTCTAGAGATGAAAGCCCAGATTCACAAACAGACTGCATAATTTTTAGGTGCCTAGAAAAATCACTGGAATCAACAAAGCCTGAGTTAGGTACCCAGGCTCCCTATACAACAAAATAGGGAGAGAGAGGTGCCTAAGAATGGGATCCACAAAAGCCAGAATGCTAGGTGGCTCCCTGCCAAAGCGAGCCAGCAGCAGATGCCAATGAGAAGGTGTATCCTAAGCCCCACTCCTCTTTGGGACTTGAATGCCTAAACTCAGGGTGGAGGGAGGCACCTATCTCTGCTTGGGATCCATAGCTGTGAACCTTCTCCTGGAGTCAGGTGTCTACGATTTTTTGTTTTTGTTTTGCAAGAAACACCAGACAAGAAGGAGAAAGAGGTAATGGTGGCACCTTCCTAATAACTTTTAGCCCAGTGATAAGAGCACTTGCCTGGGATATGGGAGACCTGGGTTCAGTTCTGAAGTGTTTCTCTCAGTCTCTCTGGTTGAAGCTGTTCCACTTTGTATAAACGCTTACATCATCATTGAAGCAGCCAAAGCAGGGGCATTTGGGCACTCAGAGACCTTTCTACAGACCTGACTGGACGTTCTCTGCCCTTTGCTGACTGGCTCCAACCCTCTCCCTCCCTCCCAGTCACGTCACACCTGCCCCTCTTACTCTCTTCTCCACTGCTCTGCCCCCCTCATCCCCTTCTATGTCCCCTTTCCCTTTTGCTCACCCTCTCCAACTAAACTAAACTAAACTAAAAAAAAATAAAAATAAAAAAAACCCATGGCACTAACATGCTGTTTGCTGCCACCACATTGTTCACTCTGCTTTCACACCTTTCCCCACCCTGTGTCTGTCTTGTCTGTTTTGACTATAAACTCTTTAGGGCAGGGAGTGTCTACTTCTCTGTGTTGGTATGGTGCCTAGCACAATGGAGCCTGTTCTTGGCTGGCCCTTAGGCACTACCATCAGAAACATGATTAATAATAACAATTAACGTCTGGGGTTGCCCAGATAAGAGACATTTACCAGCACTTGGAGGGGAACCATCCATTCCCCCACCCCACCCCCCCTCCCGTAATAAGTTGAGGTCACCCCTGTGGTAATGGACAAGGTGGCAAGTTTAATCCTAAATCACTTATTCATATAACCTTACATCCAAACAAAAGTCTCCATCTGTTTCTTCAGCATTTCCTGGTAGCTGTCCATCCATCAACTTACACTCAATATGGCAAAAACTGAGCTCTTAATCTTTTCACCCAAGCCCTCTCCCTTCCCCTACTTCAGTAATTATGCACACTGCCACCATCCTCCCTCACCACTCTCCTGCTCACTCAGGTGTATAAACTGAGCAGCTGTCTTTCTAGACACATATGACTAAGCCATGTATCAAACCTACTGCTCCCTCCTCTGGAGTGTCTCTAAGATCAGCGCCTTTCCTCTCTGTCCACACACCTAAAACATTAATTTAGGCCCTCATCTCACTCTGCACTACTGTATCCTCCTTCTTTATGGCCTTGACAAATGCCATCTTAAATCCATTCAAAGTTCTGCTACAAAGATCATTCCTGGCTCATCGCTTTAACCATGTCTCACACACACACACCCCTTTGTGTCCCTCTACTGACTCCCACTGCATCAAACAAAAATGGCTTGCCTTCACTTTGAAGATCCTCATGGCTTGCCTCTGATCTAACATCTCTTATAGGATATTGAGCATTTGACATCTCCTTCCATGCTGCCAGTGATGCCAGAATTCCCACTTTTGTACTTTCTCCTGGACTGTCTCTTATGGGCGCTAGAAACTCTCTGTAAAAACCACAAAGTTACCTTATTGTCCTTCTTCAACTGCCCTCAAAACTCACCTCTGAAGTGATACTTCAAAACAATCTATAATGACTAGACAGCTG